TGTGTGTGTGTGTGTGTGTGTGTGTGTGTGTGTGTGTGTGTGTGTGTTAGTGCCTTTTCGTTAGCTCTTCAGGGTCTTGAATGCCCAGCATTGGCAAACGCCCTTTAGGGAAAGGCGGCTGTTGAGGACCTGTTCCTTCTCCATCTCTGTCACCTCCTGCTGTCTTGGGCTCCACACATCTGGGTTGTTTTCTAATCCGGCTTCTCTGAGTTTTCTCAGTGGGAGTTGTGGTCTTGCCCGAGCTATTCCCTCACATTCAAATGGACGTCCTCCTATCACACTTTATTTATTTATTTTAAATAAATTTATTCATCTGTTTATTTTTGGCTGCGTTGGGTCTTTGTTGCTGCACGTGGGCTTTCTGTGATTGCGGCAAGCGGGGCTACTCTTCATTGCAGTGCACGGGCTTCTCCTTGCGGTGGCTTCTCTTGTCGTGGAGCACGGGCTCTAGGCGCGCGGGCTTCAGTAGTTGTGGCTCGCGGGCTCAGTAGTTGTGGCTTGTGGGCTCTAGAGCGCAGGCTCAGTAGTTGTGGCGCATGGGCCTAGTTGGTCTGTGGCATGTGGGATCTTCCTGGACCAAGGCTCGAACCTGTGTCCCCTGCATTGGCAGGTAGATTCTTAACCACAGAGCCACCAGGGGAGTCCCCTATCACACTTTAAAAAACTTAGTCATATGTGTTTTTTGGTTTTGTTTTGTTTTCATTTGTGACTGAATTTTCAGTGTATGAAGAAAGAACTTGTATTTCACATAAAAGTTTTCAAAAGTAGGCAGCAAAATTAACATATTTGGCTCTCCAGTGAGATTTTCTCACAAATTTAAAGGCTGTGATTTAAAAGGAGGGTGGTGTTATGTTGTTTACAGATAACACAGTGATTTTTTTTTTTTTTTTTTTTTTTTTTGTGCGGTACGCGGGCCTCCATTGCGGAGCACAGGCTCCGGACGTGCAGGCCCAGCAGCCATGGCTCACGGGCCTAGCCGCTCCGCGGCATGTGGGATCTTCCTGGACTGGGGCACGAACCCGTGTCCCCTGCATCGGCAGGCAGACTCTCAACCACTGCGCCACCAGGGAAGCCCCAACACAGTGACTTTTGATGGAGCTGAGATAGCGTTCCTGGCCTTTTAATAGTTTGTTTAACCGATATTTATTATTCTATTGTGAATCAGGTACTGCTCTGGGTCTGGGGGTGGCAGGGGGTGGGGGATGGAATACAGTGATTATCTTGGTAGATTAGGTCCCAGTTCTCTTCAGGCTCAACTTCTGCATGTAACAAAATAGGGAGAGAATAAAGAACAGTGTTGTTATGTCAGTATCAGCAAAACACATTTTAATCAGTAGCTTTCAAATATTGTACACTGAGAAATTTTTTTTTCCTTTTACAGAATATGACAGATACCTAGCATCTAGCCAAATAATGGCAGCTGCCTACCTTGACCCAAACTTGAATCACACACCGAATTCAAGTACCAAGACTCACCTGGGTACCGGTGTGGAACGTTCCCCTGGGGCCATGGAGCGAGTGTTGAAGGTCTTTCATTATTTTGAAAGCAACAGTGAGCCAACCACTTGGGCCAGTATTATCAGGCATGGAGACGCTACTGACGTCAGGGTAAGTACATTTTCCTAGGACACATCCTCAGTGTATATGTAGGTTAAATGGTAATGGCACATACCAAAAAAAGGCAGAGTAATAATTTTTATTCCCATATTTCAGAGATGTTAACTTTTCTCTATAGTATTTATTGAGTTAATATGTGACGGACCAGAGTTTTAATTTATGTAAAATTTCTTAGAAAAATAGTAACTGCATCATATTATTCATATAAGGCCATTGACTTGTTTTTCTCTCCTGTTTTTAAAAAAATTCTTTGACATAGACAAGGAAACAAAGGAATTAAAATAGCCTCTAATACTGTTGAAATAAATTATTTTCTAGAAAGTGTAATTTTGAAGGTATTTTCATGACTCCAGGTAGGATAGATTCTTAAAAAAAATATATGTATATCTTCTATATACCAGACACTTGGCAAGGTTCTGGGGATATTAAAGGTCCTGGTCATACAGCTTCCAGTCTGTTGTGGGCAAGATGCCCATGGCCTTAATTGCAGTGCGGTGCAGGCAGTGCTTCCCGGGGTGTTGCAGATGACGAGGGCCGACAGGGATGTCACTGCGTGTGACTGTGAGAGGTGGCTGGACACACTTTCCTCTGGGTGCTGATGAGAGTGGGCGGTAAAGAATTGTGAGGGGAGCACAGTGTAGGCAGAGGTTGCTGAGAGTGAGGAGTGAGCACCGTGATCTCAGAAACCTGAGTTCAAAATGTAAATTTTCAGGATGTTTACTTTGATCAAGTGTTGAAGAAACCCCTCCTCCTTCCTGCTCTTTCACTTAGTCCCTATTCATCTTTAAGGAGGACAAGTGTCCAGCGAGTAGGACCATCAGATGTATCTCCCCTGCTTTCAGTAATAAAGAAACAAAGTAATTTGTACTCTTTGACTTATATGCCTTAACTGTGTTTAAGTACAGTAAAGGGACTGGTAGAATTTAGATTTAAGGCTACATGTTACATGTGCATTATATATAATATTCTGTTACCTCTTGTGATACTGTAATACTGACTGTTCAAACGGACTAATTATTAAAAGGAGAATCATTCACTCAGGATTGAAACATGTGTTAGTATCTCTTCATGTGCTATACTTAAAATATAGTAGTCTCTTTTTACAAGTTTTCCATGAAGCTTGCTGGCTTTTTCTAGTTTTTCTATAGTTCTGTTTTATATTTAACCTTATAAACACAGTCACTGGAGAGAAACCTTGTAAGGTAACGTTTATGGGAAGGCTGTTAGGGTATGTTCTAGTTTTTATTAATTTCGGATACAATGAGAGAGGAAATTCTTTAAACCATCGCATCGGCCTTAATAAACTTCAGAGCATTTGTGCAGGAGGGGAGCCTTTCAAAGATTATGAATTTGACAAGACATTAGCAAATGTTCAGAATTTATTATATCAGAAATTCACCTGGGAAGGACTCCGTGACAGATGTGCCATGGTTTTAGTATCATAGGTGCTGCACATGAGAGGAATCATACCATGAAGAGAACCAGTGATCACTGACACGTGTCCGCCTTTAGCCAATGTTAAAATCTTACCAGACATCAGAACATTCATATTGTGAAGAAAAATTTAAACCAGATACAAATACATAAGTTATGAGAACATATTTGTTAAACTTTTATGAAGATCAACACGAGCAAATCTGTGTGGCCAAAGAGCAAGTTGTTTTATTTCACAGTAATTGATAAATGTCTGGAATTTAGCAAGTCTTAGCAGCTGATGATTGAGTTTTCAACATGAGGCAGAGAAACCTCTATTGGCATTGCTTGAACCCAGCCCTCTCCTGGAATAGCATGAAATCAACATAGTGCTGGGTCACTGTGATGGCAGGTGGGTATTATTCATAACCCACTTCCTTCTACTGCTGTAACATTTGAAAATGCAGTATTTTCATGTAAGTTAATTAATGGATGGATCTAAAAATCAACCATTTTCTGAAAGGAGGTAGCTTATTTTTATCCAGAGTTGATGAATAATTAGATTGAGTCTCAGACTCTGTTTCTGCACTGCCCGATGTGGTAGCTGTGTGCAACTGCTGAATACTTGAATGTAGCTAGTCTGAATTGATGTTTTGTAAGTGTAAAAATACAACTGGATTTCAGAGATTTAGTATGAAAAAGAATGTAAAATCTCATCAGTAATTTGTTATGATTTTGTTTTTGGCATGCTAGGTTAAAGAAAATATATCATTAAAATTGAATTCACCTGTTTATTTTTACACTTTTTTAAAGTGACCGCTAGAAATTTTAAAACAACATATGTAGCTTGCATTATATTTCTACTGGACAGCTGTGCTCTATAGAAAGTAATTATCTGAGAGACTGCTTGACTCAGAAGAACCAAACCTTTGGAGGAGTTGAAAGGTTTATTTTCACCAGGAAAAACCTGGATTCTTGTTATAATTCATTACAGAGGTTTTATTTCTCATGCTTTAATAGATTTCACTCCTATTACATATTTGTGCTAATTATACATTAATTGTATAGAGGATGCTGAAAGGAGTCACAGAACTCCACTGGGAATAGGTAGAGTGTATACAGCAGCAGTAGGAACATGGTACTCATTGAAGGGCTTTGGACACCTCAGGCATAGGCCTCGTGGCCTTGGGTGCTCCCAGCCATCACCGGCCACGTGTGCAGCACCCAGGTGTGAGGAGGGCTAAGGCCTCCTTGTGGTGGGATCTGTGAGATGGGCACAGAGGCACGTTCCATCTCCGTAGCCAGCCTTGCCCTGTGTAACTGCCCAAGTGCCACCAAGATCAGGTGCAAGTTGGAAATCCAGTTATAATTACTAAACAGTGGTGCGGGCTAGTGGTGTCCTGCCCCAAAATCAGTAGCCCATGGTCTCAAACCTCACTTATCTTGGCCGTAGCTGAGTGTCAGTATCATGCTTCAGGCAGCTCTGGAGATAAGTGTGGGGTCAGTGCAGAAGAGCCAAGATTAACCCGTGGTGGACAATACTGAATAAGATTTGTCATCTAGAAACATTGTAGTGACACTTCAGAATAATAAGGGTATAGAGAAGATCCAGATTCTACCAGAGAAGTCTCCTACTCAGGGAAAAGAACATTTACATCAGACTTTAATCTGCGATGCCAGATGCAGGATAACATTGGAGCAGTGTCCTCAGAGGCTCTGGGGAACAGCTTGTACCTCTGGAGTCTATACCAAGTACAGTATCAATCATAAAAACATGGAGTGAAGGTATCTGTAGAGAAATAAGGAGGTAGGAAGTTCATACCATGGGCTCTCTTTGAAAACACAGCTAGATGACATCACAGAGCATGAAGAAGTGTGGACCCAGAGGGAAGCACTGTAGTGGGGTGCGAGAGGCTGGCTCCCTTGCTGGCCTCAAACGTCTTCAGAGGCTCTTAAAGCCGTGGCCGTGGTTTCATCCCACGCTCTTGCCTAGTCCACAACTGTACCCCGTTCTGACTTGTTTCATTTTCAATTTAAGACCTAATGCCGCCCAGCTGCATCTGTCCCTCTCTTCTCTGTCTTTGCCTTTCTTTCTCCAAAAGAACCATCAGCGCTTCAGAGGAAGGGTCTCCCCTTCTTTTAGTTAAGTAGGGCCCTTGGCATCATCTTTTACTCCTTTTGCTTATACTGTGCATCCAATGCATTAGCTAATCCTGTCCACGTTGTCCTCAGAGTGTACCTGGAATCCCCCACCTCCTAGGACCTCAGCTGCACACCTTTCTTGGAGCCACGTGGTCTCCTAACTGACATCACAACCCAGCAGCCAGAACGGTCCTGTTAACATGAGAGCCAGAGCACATCACTCCTCCACTCGGAACCTTCCAATGCCTTCCTCTCTATTTGGAGTGAATATTCAAGTCCTTCAGGAGCCCCTAGCCCGTTCTTCTCCCCGTCTTGCCCTGTGACCTTCCATCTTACTGGTCACCCACTTTTACGTTCTGCTTCCTGGACCTGTTTCTCTAATATGCTGGTCTTCTAATCAGTAATTTGCTCAAAACCCCCAGTAGCTCCCCATTTCTCTCAGAGAAAAGCCACATTCATTCCCCCAATGGCCCCCAAGGACCTACAGGACCTGGCTCCTGTTACCCATCCTGAGCTTCCAGCAAGCAGCACACGCTTGCTGATGCCTTTGTTTTAGCCCAGTGATACCCACTTCAGACTTGTGATCTACACAACTGGCAAGTCACACATTTGTGTTATTCTGAGCCCCTGAGTTTGTGGTCATTTGTTACAGTAGCAATGAGAAACTAAGAGTGACTGTAGATTGTCGAGACAGAAGTGCACGCTTTGTCTTGAGGACTGTTAGGTGGGCCCCTCGTCTGCTGTTGAACCAAGAGCAGGAGATGGTGCCCTGGCTGTCGGAGAGCAGGACTGGATTTCCGCATCTTGTTTTGGTAACTGAATGATGCTAGGCTCCTACCTCTACAGGTGCGATCAGAGAAGAATGGTGGGAACCCATTGATTCCCAAATGTAAAGAGTATCTGAAAGAGAGCTCACTGAGAAGAAGCAGCCCTGGACAGGATAAGAGACAAGTCAGTTCTTAGGAGGGAGTGAAGAGGTGAACAGTGTTCAGAGCAATACGTGTGACCTCAGATACCTGCTCTTGTGATAAATGGAGAAACGTTGCAAACTGCCTGTGAGGAGATAGCTAACAATATGAAATGTCCATTATCATCTTGTCCCCTGCCTTACCTTCCGCACGGATGACTTACTCTCCCGCATGCATTCATTATCACGTCCTCTTCCTGCTCAGCTCTAAGACCTGTCAGGGTCACGATCGCATCTCATCGTCATTGGGTCACTAGCACCAGGCATGCAGCGGGCCTTTAGGTGGCTGCTGAGCAGTTGAGGGGTGCACATTCACGAGTGAACGGACATGAAGGACGCGGCCGTACGAGTGCTCTCCACCGGGAGAAGGTCACTTCTGTTCAAAGCGCTGTCTAAAAGATAAGTGGCCAGGTTGAACCAAGCAAAGTCATAACAAGAACTTTCAGAAACAAACACAATTACAGCCTCATCTCACTAGTCAGCAATCAGGGAAACGTAAATTATAACAGCAACCCCCGCCCCCACCCCCACCCCATCCCCGTTTGGTGCATCACATGGATAAACATTGTAAGATGGATTTCATCCATTATTGGTATGAGATGAGGAACAGTCTGTCACATTATGTGTCAAGTGTAATCGGTATAGTTTTGTTGGTGCACAGTTTGGATGTACTTACCAAAATGTCATATTTTAAGTAGCTCTTGACCCAGCACGTCTGTTTCTAAGCAGTGCCTGTACGTATGTATGACGACAGCTAGAAGGATGCTCCTGGCAGGATTACTTGCATTTCCACCTCCCTTTCCCCCAAAACAAGGAAACAAAAAAGAAAATAACTATCTCCCAGTAGTAAAATGGCTGAATTGCTATGTTCCTGATGAAATACAAGCACGATGCAGGCACTGGCTTCTTTTATTTCCAAGTTTGAGAAGAGTCCTTTACTGTGAATATCTAACATGAGAATTTAATCAGGAAAAGTGTAATTTCTAAGGCCTGGGCTGTGATATAAATGAATAAAAGGAGTTTTCAGAGTAGCTAAGTGTTGCTTTGTGTATTGTAGGACTAGGTTGTCATGAACCTTTAAAGCCAGGAGGAGAAATTTAAGTTTAATTTGGATACCATCAGTGGCATATTATGAACCCATGTCCTCTTAGCTCCCTAGAGACAGTCCCTTTTCTAAATGTACATATTCCGGAAATAATATACACATATACTAATGTGTGTGTGTGTGTGTGTGTGTGTGTTATATGGAAGTGGTAATGTTTCCATATGGTAGCGTTGAGTTTGCATTTCTCACTAAAAATTTAGTTCTCAAAGTTATTTGTTCAGTTATTCAGAACCAAATAGTTGGTTCTCAAAATTCTCAGTACTTTTTACTGAGTACTTACGTACATTTAGCATCAAATATTTAAGCACCTCGTCCACTCATAACCTTGGCTACTATCCAGACTAAGTCCCAAGTGGCATTTATGAGAGTATTAGAGAATGAGACTGGGACGGAACTCAGTATGGAAGCATCATGGAAAAGCAAGAAGTGAAATAAAAGGGAATGCCTGTGTTTATTGCTTAATTGTTTAGTGGAGAGTGAAATTGCAACCTGGTTTAGGTACCAGGTCCTACAGTTTGGGGACTCTGGTTACGCAAACCCAGACTTGAAATCATTCCAGTGTCTTCTGGCAGTGCGATCAAGTGAACTGACTAAAATTCTGTCTATTCCACAAGACTTCAAGGCTAGGAACCTGCCTTCCCCCTAATCATCACCATGTTTTTGGACTAAGCCCCTCTAATTGATACTGCTTCTCTGCAGGTGGGCTCCTGTGTGTACCCGTGAGTCAGAGGACGTGAGGGTCACCTGTGCTGTGCGAGGGGTCATCAGGGCAGGCACCCAGCGAAGATGGGGTTTCTCCCGGGGTGTTGATGGCAAATACAAGTATAAGGAATGGTTGTGCCCTGCCTTACACTCTACATCTGGGCGTGGAGGGGTAGACAGACCAAGACACAAAGATCTGGGGGTGATGTGGAATCGGAATCAAGGGGAGATGAGCAGGGTAACTAGAGCCTGTGTGCTCTCGGGAGTGAGCTGGCAGAGCGGGGGTGAGAGACAAAGGCGCTTTTGTGGGAGTTTGAAAGAGGCGCCAGCGCCTGTCCTTTGCAGCTCAGGGATTTGGATGTTGGCAAGGAGAAAGCTGCACAAGTCGCCTTTCAGAGAATTAGCAGAAAAGATGGCCCTTCCTGTAGGCAGATCCCGCACCCCAGAGCACAAGATTTGCAGGCGAGCTTGGGGCTGGATCTGGGCTCCCACCGTCCCCTGGCAGGATGCCCTTGGGTGGTGTTCAGCCTGCACTGTCACTCACGGCGGCCCTGTCAGAAATTCAGGCCTTGAATCCAGAAGCCAGAAAAAACGTTTTATGCTCATTCCAGGTACCACCCCAATCCACCACCACCACCACCACCCCCCCACCCCGTCCCCGAGTTCTGTAGGCTGCAGACATGCCTCCTGTCCCAGTAAGAGTTCATCTTCCTGAAGCTGTTGTCAGCTCTTCCAGCCGGGTTCTTTTTCATGCTTTCTCTCTGGTGCCACGTTTGCTCCCTCCCTCCATCCTTCCTCTGCCGCTCTCCTGGGCTCGATGCACACCTTGTCCTGGGGATTGTGGAGTCAGGAAGGGTGGTCGGCATGTGCAGGTACAGGAGTGCGGCACACGTCCTGCCTGTGGTGTGGACTCGCTGGGTCCTTGACAGTTTTTGAATATAGTACATGTTATTATTTATCTGTTCTTATGGGTAGTGCTGGGGACATCCTTAATTGTGTTATCAACAGCATTGTGCCATAGTAAATACTAGTGTGTGCAGAACTTTTAAGATGTGTCTTACATTGCAAGTTATGTGTTAGCTTCAGTTAATTGCTAGTCTTTAAAAACCAATGATGTTTTTCTCTAGTAGATAGTTCTGATTTTCCATGATAGACATTTTCATGTTAATCTCAGAATCATTAAAAAAAAACCTTATTAATGTCCTAAAGTATTGAGAAGATTGCAATGGATGGTGATTAGCACCCGCTCACGTTAAGGGTGGCAGATGGTCTCCATTGTATTCCCAAGGTGTCTTCCACGTGTGCTACCCATTTACAAACATAGACGCCTGACTTACACATCTCTGTGGGCACAGGGCAAGAATCAGTTCTAATAACACTTTCTTTTCCACAGCCCCAGGGTAAACGCCTTCTCTAGGGAGCCTTCCCTGATGCCCTCCTTCAAAGGTCACCTTCATCTCCTCTGAACTCATGGGGCACACGTGTTAGAAAAGTTAGGTTGGGGGCTATTGTGAATTGCTGCATGTTAACTTATAGAGAGCAAAGAGCAGGTGGCTAGGCCTAACTTTAAGTATCTTTTCATATGTCATCAGTACTATCAGAAACATGGCCTTAATTATATGTTCCTAAATGTGTGTTTTTTAAAAATGATATTAGGGTTGCAGCCTGTTCTCAACAATATCGTTGGTTCAGAAAGTATATAACCTTCCACAGGTCTCATTCTTAGGAAGCCACCTGAGGTGTGGCCGTGTGCTCTGATGAGTTGGGGTGACGCAGAGGTGGAGCTGCAGAAATCGATAAAGAAAGGGGAAGTGCCTCTTTTTGTGGTTTTTAAAAAACTTTTCTTTGCTCATAAAAATACTTTTTGTGAAAAAAGATTTCTAAGTAAAATTAAGTGATTTATTTAAATTGATATTCTTTTACCAAAGATTTCTGATAATTAACTAAAAGAAATGAACATTGCGTTAATTTTTAGCATGCAGTTTTTTGTTTATAACAGTCGTTTTTGTGGGGGGTATGTTTTAGGGCATCATTCAGAAGATAGTGGACAGTCACAAAGTAAAGCACGTGGCCTGCTATGGATTTCGCCTCAGTCACCTGCGGTCAGAGGAGGTTCACTGGCTCCATTTGGATATGGGTGTCTCCAATGTGAGGGAGAAGTATGAACTTGCACACCCACCAGAGGAGTGGAAGTAAGATTACAAACCTACTTTGGGGTGACGAACTTGATTTGTTTTGCATATTAGAGACACGCACAAGAGGATGATTATCTATGCTTAATTTTCACACTGATTGTCGTTGGGACTCCTGTATAAATAGAGTTGGCCGGTAATTATTAACTAGTGATCTCTTCTGCACTCCTGTGTAGTCTGTCTTGGGGCACCGCTGACCTGGACTTGCTGAGGCGTCTGACTGATCTCATGCTTTTGTGATGACCTGTCGCTCCTCCCACTTCTCTTGTCTGTGCTGCTCTGTCCAGCCTCTGCTCTGAGGAGGACTCAAGCCCTAGTCCTTTTACTTCCTGTTCTGCTGGCACCCTTCCGTGCAGCAGGGCTCCGTGTGCCTGGAGGAGACCACACGCAATTACTTTATTGATGGGCTGCAGAGCTCGCTTCATTGTGCCCAGTGCAGTAACCCACAGCCCACCGCAGACAGTCAGCGTCTCTTGGATGTTCACACGTAACATTGAAATTAGGAAGTAATCTCTTAGTGAGTCATACCGACCTTAATGAAACTAAAACCATTTAAGGTCAGTTAAAAGAACTCCCTATAAATTATCCTTTTCCTGGTTCTCTCCTAATAATTTTTTTCACGTTTAAGTAAACCAAGATGTTTGTAGGAAATTATACATCTAAAAACACGTTTGAGAGAAGTATAACTTATAGAACGGGGTTCTTCCACACTGGTTCCCGTTTTTATAGATAATGCTGCGGAAGTAAAGATCGTTGTAGAGTGAAGAGAGCATTCAAATGTCAGTAACTTTCAGTTCAAGGATCTAAGTTGAGAAGATTAGAAAGATTAAAAAGAAAAACAAACATGTTTAGGTGAGTAAATCTTTAGTTGAATAAAATCTTGACCCAATTACGGTTTATCAAAGAAATATTGTCGTATTTTCAAATTTAGCGAATAGCTGAAACCGAGCTAACAAAATAGTCCGTGAGAATATAGTTTGGTTGCTTTTCATCACTGGCTAGCAAAGATTTGACTTCCATCTATTTGGTCAATTAATTAAATAAGTGTTTAAAACCTAAGAATATCTAGAGGTTACTTGAAGATACCTCTAGGTGTTTTTAATCAGCACAACTTCATTACCTTCTGAATTCATGCAGACATGTCAGAGGCAGCCTTCATTATAGCAATAGTTTTAGTGCTCAGTAAAGTGTTGAATGTAGATCCCTGTGTATACAAGCTTTGCTTTTGTTCTTTTAAGCCAACTTATTTGACCTAATTTCAAGTAAAATTGAGTAGGCTGTTTTTTTAGTGGAGCCTGGATCCTCAAAAGTAAGGAAGATTTGGCTGACCCTCTTCAAATGAAGGGTGATGAAGATGCTACTGCTAATACTGATGAAGATGATGACATTGATGTATTGTCATCATCGAGTGGCTGTTAAGAGCCAGGCACTGTGCCAGCTGTGTGCTATTTATGATTTATTTATTTGTAATTTGTAAACTGTATATTTCGTTTACCCAAACCCTAGGAGGTAAAGACTCTTTATCCTTATCTTACAGATGAAAACAGAGGCACAACAAAATTGATTTAAGCTGCATTCACATAGATAGTTTGTGGCACAGTTTTGATTTGGATTTAGCTGTCTGACTTCACAGTATGGGTTTTTAAAATCAACATGCCTGTCCCAAGGGGAATAATGTGATCTTCAAAACTCCGAGAGTGTAGCTAGGCTTAGAAGATGAGTGAAGGTGCATGGATCGTCGGTAGAGGCGATGAGAGAAGAAAACGTGATCAGAGATACCACTGATACATGCGTGGTATCGTCCAGAGTGTGCGGGTTAATGCAGATTGCTCTAAAGTGCCAGTGGGGAACAGGAGGCTGTTAAGCAGCCAAGCAGATTTGAGAAAGAACAAAACAGAAGTTCTGGAAATCATTGGACAGATAAAGCAGCAGATTAGACATAGATGAAAACTCAGTAAACAAGAAGGTGGATCTGAGAAAATTTGCCCAAAACGTAGCACAGAGATGAACAGATGGAAATTATGAAAGCAGGTTTATGTAACATGGAGAATGAGAAGGTCAGCCCTTTTCTAACAGGAATTCTGAAGAAGAGAATAAGAAGAATGAGGAAGAGGAAATAATCTGAAGAGAAAATAGCTGAGAACTTTCTAGAATCAGTGAGTGATGTGCATCCTTAAATGCAGGATTAACAAAAAATCTCAAACAGGGCGAATAAAACTAAACGCATACTTCGACAAATTATAGTAAAATAGTGTTGTACAAAAGAAAAAGAGAGGATGTTAAAAGCAAGCAGAGGGCTTCCCTGGTGGCGCAGTGGTTGAGAGTCCGCCTGCCGATGCAGGGGACACGGGTTCGTGCCCCGCTCCGGGAAGATCCCACATGCCGCGGAGCGGCTGGGCCTGTGAGCCATGGCCGCTGAGCCTGCGCGTGTGGAGCCTGTGCTCTGCAACGGGAGAGGCCACAACAGTGAGAGGCCCGCGTACCGAAAAAAAAAAAAAAAAAAGCAAGCAGAGAAAAATTGAGACTTCTTACAGCATGATTGATGCCAAGACAATGGGGGGATTATACGTTCAAAGTGGTGGGAAAATATAACTGGCAGCCTGTATTTGTTTGCACAGTTAAATTCCCTCAAGAACAGATATCGGCTAAATATGAGGGTAACAGCTCAAACATTAGAAATATAACTTAAATACGAGGATAAAAGCTCAAACATTAGAAATATAACTTAAACCGTAGTTGGGTAAGTAGGTATTAGAGAAACGTAGGGATCAAAAAGAAGGAAAGAGATAGAGAAAAGGCACGGGAAACAGGGTAAATAGAAATCACGAATAAGATGCAGGTATACCAACGGTGAATGGTCAGAGGGTATTAGAGTGTGATTAAAAAGTAAATTCTAGCTCTCTGCTATTTATAGGCTGTATCCAAAACAGTGATGTTCAAACATTTTTCTTCGACTTACAGGAAGAAATGTGTTTTGCCTTGAGATTTAGTGCACGTATACCTGTTTGTGTATCTCAGAGCTATTTGTAAATAACGGACCTACATATTTCACAAAACATACTCAGCCTTATTATTTACACTAAAGTCTAAGGGTTTTCTCTTCAATGTCATTCTGTTTTGTTCTACTTAAGTAAAATAAATTAATAAATAGTAAAAAGAATTTTCCTACCTACTAATGAGTCCTGATTTTCAATTTGAATAACTCTCACATAAAACATGAGTACAAGTATACCAGACAAATAATAACCAGGAAAAAAAAAAGATGAGTATTATGCTATTAGTATCCTGTGCAAAAAATTTTCAGGCAAACAAGAATTATTATGGATGTAGAGGGCAACTACATAACAATAAAAGGCTCATTTCACCAAGAATTTAATAAGTATAGAAATAGATATAACTCTTAAACTTATAAATTCCTAGACATTCCTCAAAATGTAAAAAGCAAAACTAGTATTAAAGGAATAAAACTTACCTCTCCTAATAATTAAAAGGAAGAGCGCAAACAATAGTAAGTAAACACTAGTTTTAAAATTATGTATCTATTTTTTCTAATGTAGAACTATAGGATCCTGCACGTAACAGTATATTGAGCAATTTAAAAACACATCTCTACATAATTTACGGTTCGGGCTTCCCTGGTGGCGCAGTGGTTCAGAATCCGCCTGCCAGTGCAGGGGACACTGGTTCGAGCCCTGGTCCGGAAAGATCCCACATGCCGCGGAGCAGCTAAGCCCGTGTGCTGCAACTACTGAGCCTGTGCTCTAGAGCCCGCGAGCCACAACTACTGATCCCACATGCCACAACTGCTGAGCCTGCACACATGGAGCCTGTGCTTCACAACAAGAGAAGCCACCACAAGGAGAAGCCCGTGCGCCGCAACAAAGAGTAGCCCCCGCTCGCTGCAACCAGAGAAAAGCCCACGCGCAGCAACAAAGACCCAACGCAGCCAGAAACAATAAATAAAATAATAAAATAAATAAATTTATTTTAAAAAAATAATAATAATTTATGGTTCAAAGGAAAAGGCCCAGCCTGCTGAGGGCCTGGCTTTGACGGGGTCTGTCCCTTCGCCGTCCAGTCCACTCTCTGCAGTAGCTCACGGCCGCAGTCACTTCCTCCTGTCTAAATACAGCTGGCCCTCAGCATCCACAGGTTCCCTGGTTCCGCAGCCGTGGATTCAACCAACCGCTGATACAAAATTCTGGTGGGGGGGGGAACTTCCAGAAAGTTCCAAAAAGCAAAACTTGAATTTGCTGTGCCAGCATCTATTTACATAACACTTACATTGTATAAGGTACTATTATAAGTAATCTAGCGATGCTTTCAAGTATACAAGAGGGTGTGTGCCTCTTACATACGCAGGCTGTGCCAGTTTACATGAGCATATGAGGATTTGGGTGTCTGCGGGGGATCCTGGAAAAATTCCCCTGTGGATACTGAGTGTACTTCCTTCATTTAGCCTCTTGTATACCAGACTCTTCTGGTGAAGGTTTTCCTCCTCTTTTACTGACCATCACGGTCTGTCTTCTCCTGCTTAGCCTTGACGTTTGGGGCTGCTCCAGTGACCTCTCTTCCTCTTTCTGCCCACCTTAGACCTGCCTTTGGCATTAAATTCACTCTTTATTGGATAAATGCAGGAAACCAATGGACAGGTTATTGCAGTAACCCAGGAAAAAGTCACAGAAGACGATGGCTGTGGGGAGTAGTACTTGAAGGAATGAGAAGCAGCTGTACCGAGATATGTTTAAGGTAGAGCTCACCGAATTTGCTAACAAATCTTTTAAACTGTAAACATCCGAGGAAATGTATAGGTCGTCCCTGCTCAGAAACTCCCGGGAGCCCCCCGTCACCCCGGGAGCCCTCCATCACCCCTGGAGCCCCCATCACCCCGGGAGCCCCCCATCAGCCCGGGAGCCCCCTGTCACCCCTGTCAGCCTGGGAGCCCCCCCGTCAGCCCCCCCATCACCCCTGGAGCCCCCTGTCACCCCGGGAGCCCCCTG